CACCTCACCTCACCTCACCTCACCTCACGCCGGGAGTCCGGCGGCGCGGCGGTCCCGCAGCAGCTGTGGGAGCTGTCCGTAGGGGTCATTAGTAGGGCTGGATTTTTTCTCCCCCGAAGCATAAATTGGCTATCCTTTATTGCCCTTACAGTAAGACAGTTAAGGCATAGCCGTATTTTCTGTCCAGGTGTTTTAAAATGTAATGCCTTTGAGTCCAGAGTTCTGCCTCCGTACAGTTTACCTCATGTTCTATCTCGCGTTCTTTCCGCCAGCTAGTTTATGCAGATCTCCGAGTGGAAACTACACCGACATAGATTTGCATTCAATGTTGAAAATATTTTCCGTGAAAATAGCGAACGGCAAATTGTGAGCGATTACTTTTTGTCTGAAGGGCAACCAGTGAAGGTTTGCTTCTTTAACAAAGAATGGGAAGATTTAGTCCTCAAAGCTTTGAAATGCTCACAGCTCCCACCAGTTGTGCCGAGAACAGTAAAGGAGCAATTTTAAGACCCTGACACTTGGTGGGATTTATCTAGGACATTGTATTCTTGGAGAGCGTCTCAGAAGCGTTGCATTCTGTTTTCAAGCTCTTGTGCATAGAACTTGTTAGTCTGCTACGTTTTCAGTTTCTTGCGCGTAGAGCTTGTTAGTCGGATACCTTTTCAGTTTCAAGCAAGCTGCGATAATCCCAGCGCACAATCTAATATTTTGTCATAAATGAAAAATATTTGGAGTAGTAAGGAAGCTCCTGGAAAGCAAATGTGTTGGTTAAATATTCTTTCTTAGAAATAACGTATGTTTTCTTTATCTTTTTCTCAGATGTGAGCATCTCTGCATCATCATCTTTACAGAGCAAAGGGAATATTTCCTTATTGGGAAACAGGAAGGTTTTCTTTGACACTCATGCGCTGGTGTGCCTCTTGGAAGAAAATGGTAATTTACTGGAAACGGGTAGCTATTTTTAATGTCATTTCATGAGTGGTTTTGTCATTTACAAAGTTTGTTACTTACTTCTCCTTGACGTGTGATGTTACAGCTTCAGTTTTATTGTTTTGGGTGGTTTTTTTTTTTAGATACTGGGTAAGAACATGTAGGTTTTTTTCTGCTTCCAAAAGGAAACAGTGAGCTTGTGTAACTTCGATTGGAATAATTTTTTATTCTACTGGTAATTAAAAATGCTAAAGAGAAATTAAATGTTAAGAATTAAGAGTAAAAACCAAACCAGAGTTTTCAAGGTAGTGGTTTGAAATTTCTTAATTGGATTCCTCCATATTTAGTATGTAGCACCTTGAATATGCATCAATGTATTATAATAGACTTGAAAATGGACTAGTACATAGAATGCAGCTTTTAGGATAGAATGCAGAATACCATATAAAATATGGCTGCTCTTGTGCCAAGACATAGATAAGGGAATAGGTTATTTTGGATTCATGTTAATGTTGCTGAGGTGGGGAAGGTACGTGAAGGTGAATTTCGGTACAGCTGAGCTGACGTCTAAGAGAGGTCCCGGTCCCTTTCCCCTGCCGTATGGTTTTATCTCTTTCCGTGTGCCAACCTAATTCCCAGAAAACTCTCCAGCTCTTTCACTTGATTGGTATTTTGAGATGCTAGTTTGCTGAGCTCACAGAGCAGTTGTGTGAGCACCAAGACACCTACCAAGTGTCAGGAGGAGGGATAAGGAGAGGAAGAGGAGGGATAGGTCTTCCTTTGGTGGTGGCAAACTACTATATCAGCTCAGCTGTTGGAAATGAGCGGTTCTCAGCCTTCATACGTGCTTTCTGATGTTTAACTGCTAGTTAATGATTGAAACAATCATGCTTTTGCAAGTGTGTGGGGGGGTTCATAATGATTAAATCTTGTTCATGACATTTTTAATCCTACATTTTGAAAGTGGAAAAGTTGAGAGTATTTCTAGGGACAATGTTTTACAACAGTTGTCAATAGTTTCAGTTTAAAAGGTTTCTAATGGGGACTCCGAGGCCGGTAGGCCTAAAATCGGAGCAGTTAGCTCTGTTTTCAGTTGCCGAGTTTTGCACATCTTCAGTGGTACTGAAGATTTATGGTATGCTGAAAGTAAGTATCCGGTTTTCAGGGGCAGAATTCTTGCTCATAGAAATAACCACATGCGAGAGATGACATTCCATAATACTTCTAGAAAATTTTCAGCGTTTATCCTTCTGATATTGTAATAGTGCTGTGCTACAGAAGCAGCTATACTATGTCACAGGCATAATTTTGAGGGGAGGGAACTTGGATGTACTGACTGGTTGTGTTCTTTTGTTAGTGCTGGATCAAGAGGAGTAAGTTTTCTTGTCTTTCATAACAGACATTAGTTTTAACTTGGTGCTGAGTATTAGCAAGTGGCATTTCTGTATACTGCTCAGATTTAGGTCTCTCTCTGAATGTTGTCGCCTTTTGTTTTGCTTAGGGTTCACTGCTCGGCAGTCGGAGGTCATTGTATCTGCATTAGTGAAAATTATGAACACCAACCTGGATATGATTTACAAGGACATGGTCACCAAAGTACAGCAGGTTAGATCGGAGACAGTGGTGGGGTTAAAGTAAAGCAACACCTAGTATGCTTGCTAATGAAACATATGTTGCTATTTATTACTGTTAGACACTGCGTTTTGAAAGTTTGAAGGCAAAGAGCAAACATCCCTCTGTATCTGTCGGCTAGTGAATTTTGTCTTGAGTTTATCAAATACTGCGGTGTTGTGGTGGACCTTGAGATTTGGGTACTGTGAGGTGGTATGCAAACCATGGGTGGTTTTTTAGTTTCAACCTTATTACCAAGAAATAGAGTTACCAAGAAGGTTTTTATATGGACACAGGAGGTATTCAATGCATGGATTTGAATAGCTACAGTTCCTACATATATTCTTTTGTAGACTTGTAGCAAGGAAGTACAGATTCCCTCAGTTATTTACCACCCTGTTATGTGGTACCTTTTATTTATCTCGTTGTGTCACAATGACACTTCTATTGTATTAGAATTGAGCTGAATTTTTTTTTTTTTTTAATGTGATGTTTTTAGGGCGTGATTGGTGTAGTTGTATACACTGATAAGATGTAGTAACGTGCGTAGTTTGAATGCTGATAATGAAATCTGTCTCCTTTTCCTTTGATGCGTACATTGTTCGTGGTATCCTCTAAACCTACCCAGGTTTGCACAAGGAAGTGAGGAAAACTTGCTTGGAAATAGACTGATAATGCTGAGTATCTACAGAGATCCTTCCCAACTAGCAGGAAATTATGTATGACTGAACTGAATTGTTAGCTTTGACTTGTGAGGGAATGATTGTTTTAAGGAATAATTGTGTTTGGAGGCAAGGCTTGTTCTAATACTGGCTGTGATTTTTTTGGAGGGGGAGGACACGCCCTTTGTTAGGTCATACAAAAGTAGATTAGACCCATGTCAGGAATGGGACATGACAGTGTTGAATTTTGCCACGTTGAGTTCTTGGGCATCTGGCTCCAGAAATGAAACTGAAATTCAGAGTAAGATGTGGTTCACTGCATGTGGAACTTGAGCATCTTTGAATGGGATTCACAATATCTGGTATGCTGGAATTCGCTGACACGTAAGCTGGTCAAATAGACAACGCTGACAAGAAGCACAGCTGAAGTACAACCTCTTGGGCTGCTGTGTGAGGCTGGGCTTCGCAGCCCCAAGTCACCTTCTGAAACACAAACTTTAACTTATTTCACAGTAACTAGGCTACTATCTTAAAACATGAGAAAATAGCAACTCCTGTCTTCGTAGTATAACAGACTTGGGAGCAGGCCATCTTGTTAAGAAGTGTGATACCTGGATTTTGCACCACCTTCCGTCTAGGGAGATTTCAGCCCATCCTTCCTAGCTTTGATTCCAGGCAAAGCAGACATGGGAGTGCTTCCTCCTCCTGTGCTGAATTTGTTCCACAGTCAGGGAATACAATGTTAAAGTGACCCTTTCTCCCATGGTTGGTTGTATTTTACAGTAAGCGGTCCACAATAAGCAATCTCAACCTCCTTCTATGCCCACCTTTTCTTGAATGAAAGTCAAGACATTTTCCCTTGGTTTGTGCTGAATGTTGCTACTGATGGTAGGTGTTTTGTGCGACTGTTAGATTCAACCCTCAGGTGACTTTCTGCCATTAAGAGTCAAACATGCAGGTTTGTACGGCATGCTAAGATAGAAGCAGCTCAGGGGGTGTGTATGCTGTGAACTCTGGGCAACGTGATAAACCTGCACTTCCTTAGAGTCTTTGAGTGCACAAGGGATTATGCAAAAAGAAAATAAAGAATTGGAAGAAGGTTTGGGACGTTGTGGATGTAGCTATTGCCATTAGGCCATAGTTGGGGATGTAAAAGAAAGTATTCCGCTAGTTAGATGAAACCTTAGGGAAAAAGAAATATTTGTGTCTGTGTGTATAGAGGGGAGGAAGTAAAAGAATATGGAAGATTCTGTTCTCTGTTTTCTGAGTTTACTGAAGAGAGGAAAGAACAAAAGCAAGCTGGAGACATCGAGGAGTAAGAGAAGGGGTGTCCATGGCAGTATTCTTTCTGCAGACTTTTTGTAATGTGTGCGGTACACTGACCCGTGTTTTTTTTTCCAGTCTTAGGGTAAGGTAGCTTGGTGAGGCAACTCCAGATGCCACTTAGAAATGTAATGCTGCAAGTTAGAATAGCATTTCCTGACAAAAGTGGAGTTAGACTGCTGTGTCAGGTTTGTCCCAAAGCAAGGGACTACTTATTCGAGGGAGATCTTCAGAGAAGAGAAGGCAGTCCCCGTTTGCCTGTGCGGATAGCGTAGGATCTAGAACAATGTTGCAGAGGATTCTTGTTTGTCTTTTGTTAGGTCAGTATAACAGACTGAGAAGAGCAATTAAAAATATAAGTGGAGTGCAGGATTCTGAGTAGCGAAGCGGAGTGAGCTCCCTTGCAGGGGGAGGTAACGAAGGAGGTAATTACAAAAGAGTAAGGTTGCACAGAGGAGTTTTGGTCTGAAAGCTAGCCTTCCTCATTTACCTCAGAGACACTTCTCTCCTGAATGCCTTTGCTAGCTTAAGAATTTGAAGACTTGGAAGAAACATTTTCCTGGGCTATTAATTGAATTATTCTGCTCTGTGTTAGCACTGCTAATTTTATGAAATATTACCAGTGTTTGAGTCTAACTTGCTTATTTTGTCACTGAATATATCTTGCTTTCTGAAACTCAGATAATCAATCTGAAATTGCCGAATTAAAAATTTCGAGGTACCAAAATAGGCTATTGTATTTGTAGGCACCGATGAGAAAAAGCATTATAGTTATGATATGTTCTGACGTTTTTCTTCTCTCTTTCAAAGGAAATTGCACTTCAGGAAGTAATGTCCCATATTGGTGGTGTGAAAAAAGACATGATTATTTTGGAAAAAAGTGAATTTTCAGCACTTCGTTCAGAAAATGAGGTAAAAATCACTATCTTGGAAAGTATTGTTCTAGCACTTGCTTGTTTTTCTAATGATGTAAAAAAGCATCTTGTACCCAAGAGGTCGACTCTGGGGCTGGTGTGGTTTAACACCTTCATTAATGACCTTGCTGATGGGGCAGAGTGGACCCTCAACAAGTCTGCAGATGGTACAAAGCTGGGAGCAGTGGCTGATACACCAGGCAGTTGTGGTGCCCTTCAGAGGGACATCAGCAAGCTGGGGAAATGGGATAACAGGAACCTCGTGAAGCTGAACAAACAGAAATGCTGAGTCCTGCCCCTGGGGAGGAATAACCCCAGGCAGCAGGACAGGCTGCAGGGGACCAGCTGGAAAGCAGCTTGGCAGAAGAGGCCTTGAGGGTCCTGGTGCCCACCAAGTTGACCGTGAGCCATGAGCGTTTGTGGCAAAGGTGGCCAAGAGCCTCCTGGGTGGTTTTTGGAGGGCTGCCAGTGGGTCAGAGGAGGCGATCCTTCCCCTCTGCCTGGCACTAGTGAGACTTCGCCTGGAGTGCTGGGTCCAGTTCTGGGCTCTCCAGTGCAAGGGAGACGTGGACACGCTGGACAGAGCCCAACAAACAGCCAGAAAGCTCAGTAGGGGAGTGGAGCATCTCTCTTGTGAGGAAAGACTGCAAGAGCTGGGACTGTTCAGCCTAGAGAAGAGAAGGCTCAGAGGGGATCTCATCAATGTATACAAATATCTGAAGGGAGGGTATAAAGAAGACAGACAGGCTCCTTCTGGTGGTGTCCAGTGACAGAACAATAGATGATTGGCACAGATCACAATGTGGGAAATTCTGTTTAAACATAAGAAAACTTTTTACTGTAAGGGTGGTAGAACACTGGAATAGGATACCCAGAGAGGCTGTGGAGTCCCTATCCTGGAGATATTCAAAACCCAACTGGACATGGCCCTGAGAAACCTGCTCTAGTTGCCCGTGCTTTGAGCAGGGGATTGGACTGGATGATCTCCCGAGAGAGTTAATAGAAAATGCTACAGATATACCTATTTCATGTATCTTTTGAAAGAGAGAAAGTAGTAGAATAATTTGGGTTAGAAGGGACCTCTAGAGAACACCAGGTAGTTGCAGGCTGCGGTGTGATTGCCATGTGGCCGTCTCTTCTTAAAGCTGAACAAATCCAGCTCGCTCTCCTCCTCGCCCTCCACCCCCAACATAGTGTGCTCCAGCCCCCCATCACCTTCCTGGCTCTCCGCTGGACTTGCTTCAGTATGTCAACATCTCTTTTACCAGGCAGCCTAAAGTTGGACACAGCATTTCCAGTGCAGGCTCACAAGTGCTGAGTATTATGGGGAAATAATCACTTCGCTTGGCCTGCTGGGTTTACTCTTGTTAATACCACCCTATGCATTTGGCCACCTTCCCTGCTGTGGGATGTTGCTACCTTGTGTCTTGTGCTGCTGTTTGGAAATGCACAGTACTGAGTAAACATGTCCATGTATACACATGCATATATCTGTACACATATGGAGGACATAGAGTTAAACCATGCTCGGTTTGCTTTCCTTTTCACATTATGGATTATAGTCTTTGTTACTGATCATGCAAATTTATTGGTATTTCTAGATTATGTAGGTTTATATTCGCTAATAAAGTGTGCAATCCTTTTCTACTCTCCCAGAAAATAAAACTTGAACTCCAGCAGATAAAGAAGCAAGTCATGGTAAGATACCATACCAATATAATTAAGAATTAACACCTGTCTAGTTGGCGTTAAACAAAAAAAAGTTGCTTTCAAGATTTTATTTTAAAAGCTGTGCTTAATTGTTGTGATATATAGGATACTGAAATTGCAGTTAATGGTACACTGTGGGCTGCAGCAAAGACAATGTCATGCATGCTTCATTTATGGTGACAGAGACTGTGAGTGGTACAAGAGATGAAGAAAAACAACTGAAGATTTTTTTTTTCTTTTTTTACTTACGTGTCCTTAATTCATATTCAGAAAGTGGCTGCCACGTCATGGTTAAGGCTGAGGTGAAGTTCTGCATTTAGGGCTGCGTGTTGCATGTAAAGATGTGACATACTTTTAAAATTACAGCACAGACTAATTAGTTTGGTGGGTTTTGTTTTTGTTTTTTTCCTCTGAAGATTTACCTGTTAGCTTGTTAGCTATCCGGAATTTAAAATAGCTTTTAAATGGCCTCTTTAGGCCACTAAGTTTGGGACCATTATGCTTGGTCCCATTTGTATGGGAGCAAGTGACCATTGCAAGAAAACAGACTCTCTGTAGAAAACTTGCTCTGTTAATTATTGTACAGGTTCTTATTCTTAGCAGATTTAAGCATCAGTGCTGTGTTTCTGTTCTTTATGGTTTGCCTGTCTTGAATAGCACTCCAAACACCCTTCTACCATCAAAACCAAGGTCATCTTAAAATCTGTTATTTCAATGGGTGTGGAGTCATCAGCAGCCTTTACACAGAAACAAACATTCTTACAAGAGTGATTAAGATCAGAAACTGGGAAACGTGCACTGTTTTTAGGGAGTATGGACATCTGACTCGAGAACTGCTGTTTCCTGCTGGGATGTCCTTCTTAGTTGGAAGGCTGGAGCACTCTTCCTTCCCTAGGACGTGTCCATGAGACTGTCAGACTATTGGACTTGTTGAGGTAGCTGACAATGTGGTTAAACTCAGCCTAGAGCCTCCTTGCCATTTCTTTCCTAATCTGTCCAATAACATAAATTTCCCAAGGCTAGTCCTGCATGTTTGGTATTGTGTTATGAAGGGCTTAATGCACCTGGGTTTTCAGAATACCATAAAATACATTCGGCATCTAATTTTTGAATTGTAATTTATTTTTTTTCTTTAGTTGCATATAAATGAGTTGGAGTAATCCACTGTTAGAGCATCAAGGATCTGAGTCATCTTTTCTTAAAAGCTAGATGTCTTTAAATTTAACTTTTAACTGTAAATGTAATTCTCACAAGGGCAAGTTGTTTTATGTTTGCTCATACTTCTTTCTCTAAAAGACAGAAAGACGCAATGTTAAAAGTTTAAGAAAAATTTGCTTCCAATTTTTGATTCATTAAACTGTAATGTATTGTGTTGTAATGACATCTAATTATAAACCAGTTAAAGTTCAAAAATTGAAACATAGAAATTGAGTCTAATTATTGTTCACACTAACTTAATGAACTCTTGACTAGTTGACGTTGGCCTACTTGAGAGATGCTTACTTGGTTTTAATAGCAGAATCTCCCAGAACATCAGCAATCTTTTGCTCCTCCCACACATTCATCTGATCAGCAGTTTGCCTCATGACAAACTGTCAGCTGGCTGGAATTCCTGCCAGGAGGTTGCATTAAAATGGCAGCTGTCACTGAGAAAAGCAGGAATCACTTGCAGCTACTGATGAAGTAAAATGCAAGTGTACAATTTATGGTAGTTATAAAAAGTTAGATGTTTAAAATTATAATAAAGATTTCCTGGCTTCTAAGATGTCTGTAGCTTTTTCTGAAAGTCCTAGGTGTAGTCTTCAGAAACAGATTTTTGTTACCTTGGAAGGTTAGAAACTGCTTTTCAAGTTATTTTGAGCATCAGGGTTGCTTTATGGAGGAAGTCCAACTTACACCTGTACCTAGGCATGGTTTTCTAGAAATTGGAGAGTTATGGGATATGTGAAACGTTCTCAGCATTTATAGAAGGATGTGCTCTCAATCAAGTGCTGCTCTCAGCCTTCTGGTTTTAAAAGTAACACTTAAGTTTTTGATTCTGAGATCCAGTTCATACTATAGAACATGAGTATTTCCCAGGGGAAGAGTAGGAATACTTACACTTTTTAAAATTATGTACATTAATTGGAGAGAAGCTTGATTCCTGAGATATGTAAAAAAAAAAAAGCACAATATATTTGTCTGATTTTTTTTCTACTTATGATTAAATATAAAATCTTGCTTATTGCTTTATCGTTTTTTTCCCATTAGGATGAAATTGCCAAAGTTCGTGCAGATAACAAGTTAAACCTAAACCTAGAGAAGAGCAGAGTAAAAGAATTGGTAAGTTTTGGTTACTTTCGTCTAGAAGCATCTGAACACTGAGTAATCTCCAGTTTGGGTAAAAGCATCTTGCCCAAAGAGCAATTTCATACTAATCTATAGTATCGTTCAGCTTCAAAATGGTATTAATCCAAGTTACTCATCCTATGTTGCTATAGTACAAGGTGCCATGTTTGGTTTTGTACGTCTGTCTATTTTGATGTTGGTTTAATATGAAGATTAACATGTTACACTTAAATATATTAGATAATCTAAATATACTGACTAGCTGCCTAGAGGTTTTCTATGTTATAAGTATAGCTCTTTCTCTATTTTCACACTTAATTAAGTTTAGGCATTTCATTAAATTTATCGTTATTGAAGATGTTTCATTTCCATATAGCTAAAAATTTATAGCGTAGCTAGTTTGTCAGGAAATACCTATTATGCAAATAGTTGTGTGGTTTTTTGTTTGTTTTTTTTTTTTTTTTTTTTTTTTTTTAATTGTAACTGATACTGGTTCAGATTGTTTTGAACTTTGAAATATCTGGTAGAACTGAATTGATGTGATCTTAAATTAGAATAACGTAGATGAAGAATTAGAAGATTAACAAGTTTTTGCATTGCATGTAGCACTCAATATTCAGTTCTGTTCCCATAGATATTTTTTTAATAGCTTTTAGGATCACAAAGAAATTGCATCTTCTAAATTGAAAGATCTTTTAATGACATTTTTCTATTAATATTATTTCTTATTCAGTCCTTTTTTACAGGTGTGTAATGAAGATGTAATATTTATCTCCAATCTAGGCAACAAGAACTGCTCAAGTAGATACCATTTGTCTTCTGTGTGTGCCCTTTGAAGTTTTTCACAATGATTAGTTTAGGTAACAGCTGTGTCAGTAATTTAGTACAATGACTGAACAGTCTGTTATCCTGTGGTAGATCCTTGCATAAAGTACAATTTGAACAGGTAGAATTCTTGTTTAAAGATTAATGCTTCATGCTAATGTTTTAAAAAAGCGTCGTATGAAATGTATTAACTGTGTAGATCATAAGCTTTGCAATAATTTGGGCTTACAAAACCTATTTAAAACCACTTCACCTATGATAAATTAGGCACTAGTGTTTTCTTGTGTATTTATGTAGGATCCCGGAATCTGGACTGACTCTAGCGTGCCTATTTTGACTCTATTTTGACTGCCTTCCAGGAAAAGCAAACTGTGCATGTCAGCTTTCTCTTAAGAAAGCTGACCAACTTTGTAGTCTGTGCAACTATAATTTCATGGTTTTTATGAAAGCTGCTCTTTTCTTTTTTCCTGCCCCAGCTCCCTCACTTTAGTTGCCAGCTCTGCCATGCATGAACAGAAAAGGAAAAAGGCAGATGAATGGGGAGCAGGTTGTAGCGTATACGCTGAGTAGGGGGAGAGATGTAGTCCAGTATTTTCTGTAGTAGGCAGAGCATCATTATCATGTTTACTTCAATTGTCATGTGTTTTAGGACTGAATATCTAGCTTTCTGAGAATAAAACTCGGGATAATTGAAAGTTACTGTGCATTCTTACTAAGTTACCATTCAGAAGAGAAATGTCCTAAGTTTGAATTGATTTAACTTGAAGCACTAGGTAAAATGTTCTTATCCTTCAGTTTTACTTGGAATGAGTACTGAAGGAGAATTTCTTAATTTGTCAACACTGATGTGGGCAGTCTTTAATGTTTCAAACTCTAAATGCTTTATCTTTTAATTAGTTCATTCACATACATGTCTTGGAGAGTCCTACTTTGCTGAATGCACATCTGTTTATGCTCTGATTTATATCTGCAGTGATACAGATGTGATTTAAAAACTTGAAGTATGGCACAAAATTCCATCTATATTCACGTGTTTGTGCATCACAGTGCCTCTAAGCTTGCTGTTAAAAATCTCCAGATGCATCTGACCAAAACTGAGTTTTCTCTGCACTGTGAGAAATGTGGACTCAAGGGGAAATCTCCCTGTTGAATTTCAGTGGGGGGAAGTTTAACCTTGTCTTTCCTCCTTTTTTTTTATGCACTGGTGTTATTGCAGATGTGTGGTGAGGCCTTGCAGTAAAAAAGTGTATTTCACTGTCTTAAACCTAAGTTTAAAATCCTTGGATCTGACCTGGAGAGTTCTAGTCACAAAACAAAACTTTAACAAACAGATGTCAAGAAAGAAGCTTGTAGAATATAAATTGTTCAGAAAACGTGTATTTGGCTAGCAGTGTCAAAGTGAAACCGATTAACTATTTCAATCCATAAAATTGTTTATTTTAAATGTCGTGATTCTTTTGATAGTGATGATCGGTTTATTGAAGTGAGGTCCAATTCTTATGTGAAATTCACCACAAATGTCATTTTAGTTAGATTCTTTTATAAATATTCTATCATCTTACCACTTTCAAAAATGTGCATTTATATAAAGTGTCTGAATTTCTGTTTTTATCCCTCTCTTCATTTTGCGAAGCCTAGTGACTGTTTCATTAATTATAGATGTGCCGTTATTTGTCTTTGTTACGTCATTTTCTACATTTGTAGCAGCCTGCTCTCTCTTAACTTCATCTTTAGATCAGTCAAAAGTCCAAATAGAGCTCTAGATCTTTAAGGAGGGTTTTTCAATCCTGAGGCATTTATGTAGATTAATCTGAGTTTTTAATATTAAAAAGTGGAACAAGCTTCCAGAGTGGAGGAAAAATAAAGCGACTTGTCACATGGGCGTGTCAACAGATAAGGTTATTGCTGTGTAACTGAGGATTCTGAGATGAATGCCTGATGACCTTAGTACCCTGCACTATAGACTGCTGGTTTAGCAGCTGTCTAGGAATAATTTAATTGCTCCGGTAGTGGGACAGGAACCATTACAGATGTCAAGGTAAATCATGCCTGTTCACGAGTCAGAAAAGAAACCCGCCTTAGAGATACACTTCTTTAAGTTGGCTTTAACTTTCGTTGAACCTGAATAGCTGTAACTTAAAAATAAGCCACAACTTCCGATGTTCTATGAATGAATGGCTTAATGTGAGATACAAATGTTCTATGTTTAACAAATACATTATGAAATGATGGTCAGAACAATACAAATGATGAGCGCCCGCAGTGCTGGCTAAACATTTCTTTGATAGCTGAGTTTGATGTTTGAAAACTGATCTCTCCTTCCTGAAGAAAGTAGATAGTTCAGTCTTAATTGTGCTTGTATGCTCAATGGATTAGTTACTGTTTCAGAGTTACTGTTTAGAATCATAGGTCTTTGTTTTTGAGAAATGCAAATCTGCTAGCCTTTCTTCCAGCTGCTTATTCACATATACGGTTTTTGCAGATGATGAGTGTCTGATGGACTTGTTGCGCTTTACAGTCCAGAGGTGTGGGTGAACACCTGTCTAAATTGTGTTTTTTCCGGAGGACAGCAATTATCCTACAATACTGTCTCCCAAGTGGTGTCAGACAATAATCTTCTCCAGATTCGGTGTTCTATAGAATTTGGAAACAAAGAAACACGCTTTTAAGTGTCGGGGGGAAAAGATTTAATGGCAATATCATGTTTATCTTTTTTTCTTTTTCCCTCCTCTAGTACTCACTTAATGAAAGAAAACTACTTGAAATCAAGACAGAAATAGTGGAATTGGTAAGAACTGTGTAGCTGATAATTACACAGCAAATCTTTTTGTACCTGTACCTATAGACCTGGTGCTCTTTTTGGAGTTGTTCCTGTCTTTAGGCACTTAAATGTACCAAATGTCATTGTGCTTTACTATTTCCCTGTGTATTTTCATATTGGTACAGGTAACTGAAGTGTCTACAGAATAAAAAGGCTTTCATATGTGTTATTAGACCCCCTGCATGTATATATAAACTGTTCAGTAGTCACTTTGGTTTGAAACTTCATGCAGGTAGTATTTTCTCTAGATGGATTTCTACTCTTAATGCTAGTTTGAAATTATTATTTTTTTTTCCCCAGTGTTCATTGAGACTGAAACACATTGCTGGATTGATTTGACTTCATTGTAGAGGAGGTTTTTACCAAGCACATCCTGTTCCTTTTGTTTCCTTTCTGTAGTATAGGGAATTATCCCTAGGAAGACGTCTAGCAGTAAATCATTAACTGGTTCACAATGTTTCAGCAGTGCTGATTTGAAAGTACCAGCAACTCAGCAGCTGTTATTCTCAGTTTACAATTTTGATCTTTCAGTCTTTCCTGAGTAATATCTCTATCCCGTTTTTTTACAAAAGTCGTGTCTTCTGTCATAATCAGATTCTGAATTTGTCTGTAGCTGGTTTTGTGGTAGAATTCATTACAAAATGAAGACACGCTTTTTTACATCAGAAGACTAATTCTCAGTTTTTCTAATGATTCATAAATCTTTATGCTCTGGTATGTTTTTGTCACAAGAGGCTCTTAGACTTCTCAGTAGCTCTTGTAATTGAGCAGCGACTTTAATATTGGTGGGCCAAATGACACGTTGAAGTTAATGTTTATGCTGCTAGATTGAGATAAGAAGTCATCTGGTTCTACCACTTTCTAGATTACATATTAAGGAACATGCAATCGTCTAAATTTCCCAAGTTCACGAAATTATTCAATTGCTTGGATATAATCAGCTAGGAAGGAACTTATTCTCTTTAATGCAAATTAACATGTGCTTAAGGAGGAAACAAAAATACAACTTGAAGGGATGGGTTAGATTTCTAAATAAACTAGAAACTGTTCAAATTGCATCATTTTGTTGCTTTCTTTTATAGCATGCACAACAAGATCGAGCTGTGACCAAAACAGACAGAAAAATAGACACAGAAGTTGCAGATCTGAAAACAATGCTGGAATCGCACAAACTTGATAACATTAAGTACTTAGCAGGTAAGGAATCTGATGATTATCTCTGATGGTGAAACTGTTAAACATTGTTAAATGTTTGGCAAACTCTCGATTGACTATATTCATAAAGGCCCTGATTTAAAAAAAAAAAAAGTAGTTTTACTCAAGATTAAGCAGCCTTGTTTGTGTACTTAACCCAGACAGAGTTTTCTATGATTTGCAACTTTAATTTGCGTGGGCTATGGCTGTATGGCTTCTTGGTTTTTTTCCCCTGCTTTATACTGTAATAATGTGTATGAGAAATCTAAAAGACTGCCTGTTAACAAGGGCCAAAGAGTTCTTCTGCGCCTGACAACTTATAAAAGCAACCTGCTGCATGCAGTTCTAGGATTTCTTCATCTGTCTGTTGGAGATCTGTATACAAAATGGAGCATTTCAGCTTTTCTGACTGATCAGTGCCACATAGTCTCTAAACTTCCATTTTTCAGGCATGAGCATTAGAAAAATACTATATATGTGTGTGTGTGCCTACATTATTGCCCTAGGTAACTTTAATATTTTGACATTTTGCTACTGAATGTGCAGTGCTATTAAATGAGCAGGTTCACAATAGAAAATTATTCTTCTGATTTAAGTTTTCTGATTATTCTTTCACAATGGATTTTGTCACAAGTACAATCACGTCTATTCATAGTACTGTACTTCAGGCGTATCCTTTAGAGAGAACCATTACTGGAAAATAAAAGGCACTTTATTAAAATGAGAGGAAATTCTTTTCCCTACCATCCCTACTCAAAAACATGTTGTACTCTGTATGGAAAAAAAAATAAATTAATTTACATTGTGTTTGAAGTGCTCCTGTTGCAAACGATGGCAAAAATCTTTTGTGTGTATATCTAGAAATCAACTTTTGATTTCTAATTTAAATAGAAATTTAAAAAATTGCAAACTGATAAGCCTTGTTAAATATAGCTTTCATTTATTTGCTGAATACTTGACTGTGATTTAATAATCTTGTTATTCGTTTCCCTGCTTTACAACTGTAACTTGCCATATTGATCTTTTTTGGAATGGTAAGCAACTAAGGGTTTCTTTCAGCCTTTTGATAGTTTTCCAGTGCAGTTTTCCTGCATTCTTTTTTTTTCCTTCCTAATTATTTGTAAATTTTGTGCCCTTCTACCTTGAAATTCTTTGTTGTAAATCAAAAACCTTATTTTCTTACATGGGGAAGGGGCGGTGGTCACACTTTTAGTATTGTAGTAAGACTTGTACATAGCTTTCTGAAGAAATGTTCTGAGAGCTAATGATTTAATGTCTCCATTTTCCTCCCCATTTTTGTTTTCTTTCAGGTTCAATATTTACATGCCTTACTGTAGCACTGGGATTTTATCGCTTATGGATATAATAAAACATCACTTTAAAGGGATTTCTACTGTCTTGGTTTCTGAAAAAAAGAAGTTTTATCTTTGCCTGGACTTTAACCAAGTCTTGACTGTTTTATTTATTTTTTTTCGTAAAGCAGGCTGCATTGAGAATGTAACCAAAGATGTGCCTAGAAACAAAATGTACGCATATTGTGCATATTTTGAAACTTACCTCTGATGAAAGCCTGGTATACACATTTCTGCCATTTCCCTCCATTCTGAACTGCAGTACACCTTGCTGCTATAAGGTGTCATATAAGCAAAGACTGACATTCATACCGATCGTATGGGGCTGTGTGCTGTAGAGAAGAATCTATGGAATTATGTTCCATTGCCTATTCAGACATGCTTGCCAGAGTCAGTTGCGTGTATCAGGCTGAAGTCTTGATTATTAATGTAAAACTGAAACTAGACTTTTTGTGGCTTGGAGGCACTCGTGTATAAGTAGAATTTGTGTTAACTGAATCCTGCTTACTTCCTTCCTTCTAACACTTGTTCAGTACAGTTACTATGATCAAATATTTGTTTTGCTATTTCTATAACGTTATAGTTATCACCTTGTTTTCCAGATGGCCATCCAATCAGTCATCTTTCATGAGAGAGTACTGTAATGATAGCAGTGTTGCTGCTAGTTTTACTTGTAATCTCTTTGTAGAGGTTTTTGTGACTAACTTGCCTTTGGTACATATAAGTATCCGATACTCATTCCATACGCTAATTGTTAACTTTACCACTGTAACTGGAAGTTTGAAATGCAGTAAAATACACTAGTTGTGTTAATGTATGGTTAAGTGATACGAAGTGTCTCTGGTGCTGCCTTCTTGATGGAAGGGAATTGATGTTTCTAGAAAGGAAAGAGATTTTAAATGGTGGTTATGAAGCAGGGTCTTAGGCAAAGGAGCTGCAGTATCGACCATCTTCTGGATATTTTGGTTTTTTACTTTAAAAAAAAAAAATCCTCTTGGTTCTTCAGATGTAGAACTTTGATAGCGATTATAATAATGAAAGCAGTCATGGAGACCTGCAAGGATGTTTAATCCCATTCTGAGCAAGCCCATGTGAACCAGTAAGTGCAACTGAGAGCAATGAAGGAAGGTGTCCTGTGTATCCAGATATCTTTCACTCTTCCACTGATGAAATGACGGCTTTAGTAGCAGAGCTGCCATCTCTGTTCCTTCAGTTAAGGGAAATTTCCCTTTCTGGCTTGCTCTTAGGAGGAGAGAACAATCAATGCACTGGTAATAAATGCTGTTAGAGCACAATCACAGCTTTGCTTAATGAAAGTAAAGCTGTTTGGCTACTTTGTGCCTGTACTGTAATAACCATTGAACTTTTTTGGTGGTTGGGAGTGCCAACTTTGATCATGTGCAACTGCAGAGGAGGAGATGGATGCCTGTAACAATACTATGCTGTCCTGAAATAAAGAATTTTGAATATTTCATAGAATATGCTGAGTTTTCATTATAAATGCAACTTTTTAATTTGAATTTAATCTCTTTGAAGGTAAGTCACGGCTAATGGGACTTCTTTTAAGCTAAGAATTAGCAAAGTCGACAGCCCCTCTAACACACCGAAGAGGAAAGAACAGTCAGTAATGTAAGGAAAACTATTATTGCAGACTAACTTAACAGCCCGTCTAAATTGAATGAATCTATATTCAAGATCTTTACTTTTTTGTTTTAAATTTTTTTTTTTTTGGTACTAACTTATAGGACTTGATACTTTCTCAGATTAGACAAACAATAATTTAATGTTTGAAATGACTTCAGCTTTGGTTCATATTTTCCCAGGACAGATATGTCTATGTAGTCAGTACATCTTTGCCTACATGCCTGAGCATCTGATAAGTAGTTACTAAAATAGCTATTTAGAACTAATTTTAAAGATAGGGTCTACCCTGCTAAAAGTAGATAATGTGCAAACAAATTTTTTTTTCAGGGCAGGTGGAAGGAGGAAGTGAAAGATTATAGAGCAGCATCGTCCTGGAATTAGCAGTGTCAGGCAAACCAGCACTTCTTGGTGAGTGCTCTAAACAAGGAATAAAGTTAATATGTCCTTCAGGGAAAGGACACTATAAATAGAACATAATCATTATTTCCTAGCACATAAAGTCTTGAAGTGTGGTATAAAAGCTTGTTACTCCCATCCCACGTGCACAGATGCAAAATCTTCTCCCATTTTCTCTGATTTTAAAGACCAGTTTAGCAATCTTGTTAACATAATCTCTTCATGTGTACCACATGTATTTATTGGCATTCCAAAAAGGTAGAAAATCCCTCTATATATTTCCAAACACAAATTCTTTCAAAGAGAGATTTAAACTCAAAGAATAAGGCTTTTGGTACAAGTGAAAAGCAAAGACATAAGGTCGTATTACTAAATGTCTCTTGAAAAGCAGCAGCTGAGCATCAAATGATCACTAAATTCACAAATTGGAGACCTAAGTTACCAATTCTCCAGATTTTTTTTCTGTAAGACCTGTATTGTGCTTTATATTGTCTCTAATTTGAATCAGTAGCAATTCTAAATGTACAGAAATACTTGTCAGTTCTCTGACTTCATATTTTGAATTTTAATTTGCAGAGCTCTTTGGAAAGATACAAGTGAAAAATAAATGGGACTGTTTTACCATAAAACCACTTCAGCTGTGAAAATCTGCAGTAGCTCCCCTTTGATTCAGAAATGGATCTGTTCATTTCCTGCCTGGCAGGAAAAAAGTATAAAAGAAAAAATTCAATCTAGAAATATTAGATCTCTCAACCTCTCTAAGTTAGTTTGCAAGAATAGAGGGTGCCGCTAACGCTGAGCTCCAACTCTGATTTACTTTCAAGAAGAGCCCATCTCTGTTGAGAGCGTGTAAGAGTAGCAGTCTGCCTATGTTAAAACTAGTTGTGAGTTTTCCCTGTGAACTTCCACATTCACACAGCAAAAATAGTTCTTTAAGGATTTGCTTCCTTTTGGGAAAGAGATTGAGAATCATTCCATTTGCTGGAAAGCCTAAGTTGCTCCAAAAGCTGCTTTGTGTTTTGTAGAACAAATTGAGATCCGGAGTTCTTACCAAACTGTATTTACTTGTAATATGTTAGTGGGAGTATACTGAATTTAACTGCTTGTCTATCTTACTTTCCCTCTCTTTTTTCAGTAAAAATTGTAAGGGAGCCGTCTCCTTTTTACTGGTATGTATTAGCTAAATTGTTTCCTTCAAGTATTTTATTACTGTTAAATCACATGCTATCTAACCCTTTCTCTATTGGAAGTGTTGATTGCATCATTCATTTCCCAGAATGTTGTAGAGCTGTACTTAAAACCAGGAGTTGACAAATGGAACCATATTTTTAATGTAGGTACGAAATCTGCTTCAGTTTTTCTAACCACAAATGTTTTGGTTTACTAGAGTAAGCCTTATTCTAGTTGTGAATATTCACTTAACTGACCTTTTGCTAAATGGTGAAATCCTAGCTCCGTGCAGCTATTAACAGTTCCTATTGACTTTGGAGAAGGCTTGCTTTTACCTTCTAGATATTTTGGGTCATACTGCTTCAGTGGGCTTTTCTCTTCTTATTCTTGCTACCATCTGTGGACCTCACACAGGAAAACTGGTGAGGATTTCTGGGTTTTGGTTTTTTT